ATAATTGATGTGAAGTATCTGTTGGTATTTAGAGCTACTACCTCCATGGAGTTCTGGTGTGGTGCTATGGGCTAATGCGTCAGTCAGACTGCAAAGCCGTTTGAACTGCAAGGTCAGTTGTTGAAGCTCACCAGCTGCTCCTTGGAAACTCTATACAGGGTTGCTATGGGTCAGAATTGACTCAACGGCACTTAACAACACCTCCATGAGTATAGGTCAAGTTCATCAAATTGTAGCAATCTACCATCATTTCCTTTATAAAAAATTTTTTAATCTTCCTCTAGTCGAGTTCTGATCATCAAGCCATTGAGGCTATGTCTGATGGGTACTATCTGCAATTTTGGGTGTTCTTGTGCATCTCCCTTCACTTCCTATCAGCTGGATGCTTCACTCTCAGCTCTAGCCCTCTGTGGCTGTCCTTGCCCATGGGCTCAGGTGTCCCCAGGTCTCACCACACTTTGGAGCAATCCTCTTCTCTCATTTCCAGGTCAACAGTAGTCCAGGGAACGTGGTCAAACTCAGCCCATTTCTTCATTGCTGCCTTTCCCTCTTCCACTCACTTGTAGACCAACGTGGACGTCAGCAAGCTTACATGCCTGCTCATGTGTTCCCTTTGAGTTTCAGTCTTAAGAGGGGGTCCCACGAACTTTTTGACACCTTCTTGTATATGCCATGGAGTAGGTGGCCTTGATCTTCTTGTCTGAGTATATGTAAATAAATACATATTTACATATTCTGAACAGTAACGGATTTGGATTTTTTGGTTGCACAAATGAGGAAAACTAGCTTAAGAAACTTGCACAAAATCATCAGAAAAGCAACAGATCTTAAGCTATTTCCTTAGACCCAAAGAAAATGAAATGCTTGCTTTTGTACTTTTCTTTAGGACCCTGGGTGGTGTAAGTGGTGAACATGTTTGGTTGCTAAAGAAAGGTTGGAGACTGGAGTCCACTATATGTGCTTGGGAAGAAATCAAGACATTCAAAACCTTATGGAGTAGTTTTAGTCTGACATTTATGAGGTAGCCATGAGTAGGAGTCAAAAGTCAGTGACAACTGAGTGCTTTCCTTTCTAAATTTGACTTATTTCTAATTTACCTTGCTTTTGTTTTCTTTTTCTTCTGTTAACGGTAGATCTCACCCTGCAAATAAGCCATTCCTTTCCAGGAAAGGGTAACAGGTGCTGTTATTATTGTGTTTATTATATTAAGGTTTGTCTTTCCAAAAGACTAATGGAACATGTGAACACCAATCTCCATGACTCTGAGACCCGAAGAACTAGGTGGTGCTCCACTACCACTACCAACTGCTGATAGGGAGCACATTAGAGGGCCCTGGAGAGTGTGTGAGAAAATTCAAAATTATTTAAAAAGAAAAAAGACCAAGTTTACTGGTCAGAAAGACTGGAGGAACCTGAGACTCTGGCCCTTGACTGCCCTTCAGGTCTGAAAAGGAACTCACCCTCATGATACAATTGTCAGCTAAGCTTAGGGCATCATTTTCCTAAGAACAAAATTGAGAAGGGATAGGAAGGTGAATGGAATGTAAACAGCAACTACAGGGAAGAAGTGGGGTAACTGTTGTTCCACGGAGGGGAAAGTAATCGCTGAGAAGAAACAAAGTATATGATTTGTTGAATGTAAAACTGACGATCTTGTTTAGAAACCTTCATTTATCTCACAATAAAAAGTTAAAAAAAATGTCTTTGGGAAGATCAAATTTAAATTTGCTTTCCACTTTGTCTTTTTCTAAATTCACACTGGAATGGACTAGGAACTGTTTTAGTCTAGCAATGAGTCCCTCTGTGATGAGATACAATGGGGAGCAAAGGACTCAATGGACTCCTAGTATGACACTGTAGGATCAGCATTGGACTGTGAACTACAAGGGTGGCAGCTCAAACCTACCAGCTGTGTCTTAAAAACCCTATACAGAGTTAGAATTCACTTGATGGCACTAAACAATAACAACAACAACAAAAAAGGACTCAATAGGTGGAATTTCAAAAAGATTGATGAGTGTTTTTAAGTTTGAAAACAAATTGGGAGTCTTCTCTCCATTTCCCCTTGCCTAACTCATTAAGCCTTTGATAAAGATTTTCACCTGTGTTGTTGTTACATGTCATCAAGTCAGTTTGGACTCATAGCAACCCTGTACTGTGCTTCTAAGGAGTGGCTAGAGGGTATGAACCACCAACTTTGGTGTTAACAGTCTAGTGCTTATCCTGCAGTGCCACTCCAAGATGCCTTTAACTTGTAGTTGCTGCAAAACAATTTTGGTAAATAGGCACTTGGTCATTTAGGATGGCAGTTAGTTTGACAAAGTGTTAAGTGTATAAACCAAACTAGAGATTAGAGTGAAGGGGGTGTATTCTGGAAGCTACAAGTTATTTGTATGTAGCTGATAGAAGACTGGTGAAAAGGTAGACATGGGAGACCTCACATTTGGTCTTAACTCTTTAGGAGGTAAGGAGCCACAGAAGGGCTTTAGGCAGGAAAGGAGCAAGGTCAACTTTGTGCTTTAGATCATCATTGGTGAATTTGAACAGAACAAAAATTTGAAGAGATTAATCAAGAAACTACAGCATCAGGTTTCTAATAGACTTTAACACTAGCAAGTTTAGGGGGTGGGGAATGATGCATTCATTTTGAGGTGTTGCTCAGCAAAACGGATGGATTATCTTGTGCGTGAGGCTTTAAAGTAAGAGATTACACTATGATCCCATGCACATATAAAGTGCTTGGAAAGATACTCAGCAACAGATGAACCATGTTTAACTCTGATTTTTGGTCAATTTTTATTTTCTTTATATCTTTTCTGTACAATGAGCATATATTAGTTTTATAACCAGGCAAAAACATTATTTTTGTTTTAAAAATTGTATTGATTTATAAATTTGGTCTCTTTAATATTCTATTTTAATCAAATTGGTGTATCATAACCAGTTGTTGTTATTAAGTACCATTGACCCAGTTCCGACTCAGAAATCCTGTACAGGGCTTCCAAGACTATAATCTTTATGAGAACAGAAAGCCTCACCTTTCTCCTGCAGAGGGGCTTATGGGCTCCAACCATCAACCTGTGGTTAGCAGTCTTTACAACTGACTATCCTGCATTTTTGCTAAATTGTATTTGGGACAATACTATTGAAGTCTATCATTTATTATATTTTCTAGAGAATAAATTTTCTCTAGATTGTGGGTAAAGCAGGTGTAGTACAGAGTTCTGAAAATCTCAGAAGTCAGGTAGAAAACTGTCAGGAAAACATAAGCTTTCTTAGTACTATACTCAAAGTTATAAAAATTTGATCTGTACTTAAATGGGTTCATTTCCTAATGGAAAGAAACTTACTAGTAGATATCAGATTTCATTTGTGCCAACTTAAGAGATGCTATACATTTAAGGAAAATGAAAATAATTTTTTAAAGTCACATATTAAGATTTTTAAAATGTGAAATCTGATTTTTAAAGAATTTGCACCAAATTCAGGATTGGGATTCAGAAACCCAAAGGAAATTTAAGGAATAATACTTTAACCCTAAACAAAGATGAGAAGCTAAGGAGGGTCAGGGAAGCTAGATTAGTGGATAAAGAACAGAAGAATGGAAATGAGAGTGTTGATGGCATTGTGAAAAACAACCAATTTCATGGAACAAAATGTATAAAAGTTATTAAATGGGAACCTAATTTGCTATGTAAACTTTCACCTAAAACACAGAAAAATACTAAAAAAATCAAACACTACCAAACATGGAATCAGACCAATATAAGTAAGTTCTATTTCAAGGGGATGACAAAAACGGGCACTGTAACTAGAATTAGTGCAATGTTTCGCCTGTGTGCCGGAGCTTCAGAATTAACCAAAGTACTCCTTAAAAGTACAATTCTGAAGGCCATTCTCTGTTGATTTTGACTCAGTCTGTGATAGGTTTGGATTAGGGCCCCAAAATCTGTATTTAAAACACCTCAAGTGGTTCAAATAATCAGGCATAGTGACTAAAAGGAAAAAAAACCCAGTTAATACCACCATCACAACTTCCACCCCCTTATTTGAAGATTGCCATCAAATTGAGAATGAGAAACAGTTAACTGAAATCCAGGAATTATCTATAGAACACTGTTTATTTCAAAGTCCAAAACACAAAATTATTCTCTCTTTTTTTAACAGACTGTGTAATTTTTACTTCATGAATATTCAGGGCTTCTATATTCACAAGTATAGATTTATTATAGAACTTTAGGATCAAATGATTCATATTTACCAATTTACTACAGATGACATTTAACAAATTTCTGTTTAGAAAATATTTTACATAAAAACACACAAAACATTTACCAGTACTCTTAAATTTTCACAACCAGTCTTCAGCAAAGATTTGGCTGAAGCTCATCATTTCCCAAAAATCATTCCAAGACCAAATATAATAGAATGTAGTATTTTACATACTTTCATTTAATTATTATTGCAGTTAAAAGTTCCCCTTTCTTTGATGGCTTCTGCATATATTATACCAATAAGGCAGAGAAATCTTTTTTAAACTGATGACAGGTGTAACCTGTCTCTATTGGGAGGAGAACCTAAATACTGATGATGAAATAAAATAGTTGACACGTATAGGGCTTTTCGTAGGACTTTCAATCTAATAATGGAAGAATTTAATGTCTATCAGTACAACAACCTTTACTGTTTTGTGCTCAATACCTATTGCCTGGAGTGCTATTACTTCTAGTATAATCAACTGGCGTCAAAATATAGTCAAAATATGTACATTTTTATAAATCAATTCTTACCTGAATAATCTCAGCTCTTGAGTGTTCCACAAAGTGGAATTTCTTCCTAAACTTACAGTGAACATGGTACAATGTGTACAACTTGGTTAAGCAGTGCCTGCTTTTCAAGTCCTAGATTTTCTCCTTATCTTGAATCAAATGTATACTCCTGACTACCATATCTTAATGCACTGACTTACAGTTTTGTATATAAAGTCCAACTCAAGCTTATTTTGGTTTATTGTACATGCTTTATTAAAATGGTATTTACAGTATCTGCAGAAAGAGTCCCTTACAAGGTGCTCTCACATACATTCAGACACACGCATACAGACATTCATACCACATCCCCATAGACCCACAACACTGAGATGTGAGGATCACACTCCTAAAATTAGGCAGCTGTTGGGGGGTAGAGTTGTTGATTTGTATTTCAATTATTTTTGAAAAGAGAAAAGCATGGGGGGGTGGTGGTGGAAGGGATGCATTTGGCCATTACAATGCTAATTAAGTTTGTGTATATTAACATATATGGCAGTAACACTGAATATTCCTTTTACATTCTATACACAAAGAATGATATCAAGGCTTTGCAGTCAACAGAATATTCCAACTTCAGTCTCAATGCTGCTTGTAGTGACTTCTGAATTCATATAGGGGCTTTCCCTAAAAATAATTCAAGTCTATGTGAGAAATAAGGCACAATTAATATTGATTTTTATCTTGGGTAAAGGAAGGGATAAAAACTGTTTTCAAATGATCTTACTATTGGAGAATTAGCTTTGACTTAAATATACTTGAAACCCCTTCTCCAATTTCTAAAGATTTCTTAGAAATAGCTTTTCTTCTACTTTCTCTGACAAAGGCCAAAGAGAAATGTTTGGGAATTCACATTTTAATGTTTCAGTAGCCTCAACTACTCCAATTGATGTGCAGCCACCCCACTTCCCTGCCCTGGACTATTCTTCCTTGAGGCTAATACAAAAACACAGCATGTGAAGTAAGAGTCCTTTGCTGTTTTTTGAGATCTGTATACTTGAAGAGTAGCCAATACATATTGGGTTGTCGCTGATAAAAAAAGCAAAAAACAAACAAAAAAACGAGAGAAATAAAAGAAAAAAGTAAAAGTAACCTCATGACTTTCTTGTTCTTAAAATCCCTGTTTCCTTTTTCCCCCCGCAGAATGATGAAGCCCCACCAGACAGTACAAACAACTGCAACAAATGAGGTTGGCAGCATAAACAATCTAGTATTCAAATCTTCATAGTGAGCCTCATTGATCTTGTATACAATCTGTTGAGTGTTTTTCGCAGCAGGTGAACCATACCCAAAGATGCTGGACATTCTGTGAAAGGGAGTAAGAATTGCAGTTCTGAAGGCCCCTGACTTTGGTTGTTTACAAAGTTCAATCCTGTTTATTATGATCCTTGGTATCTTCTTCATCTGTATATTCTGATGGTTCTTCTCCTGGTTTTAGGAGTCTGCCTACATAATCATATTTTTCTGAAAGATACATTAAAGGAAAATCAGTAGTGATCAATTTTGTTTGCCTCTTTAATTAAATAGGATAAACAAAGCTCTTCCTATTGTTCAACTGATTACCTACAGTCTTTGTGCACAGGTAAATCTTGAACAAAAGAAACGGAATTAAGGAATTTGTAAGATTCAGGAATTCTTTGCAAGAGAGTGATTACATGCTTAAGTAAAGACACTGTATCAGAATCACTTAAAGACCTTCAATGTGACTTATGTCTTAGTTCTTAAAAAATTAAACTAAATAAAAGATGGAAATTCATTTGGTATTTGCTACTTTTTGTTCTTTGAGGTTCAGTAATGGTGCCCCATTATTACTCCACCTTCTATCAATTTCTCTTCTTAGATCTTTGTTACTCTGTTTTGCTATCAAGGTGTTTAATTTAAAGTGCTGTATCTCCAAAGGAGTCCTAGTATAGCACTGTGGGATAATGCACTGGACTACAAGGTCTGAACTGCAAAGTTGGTGATTCAAGTTCACCATCTACTCCCTGGGAATCCTATACAGGGTCGCTATGAGTCGGAACCGATTCGACGACACTTAGCAACACATCTAAAGGTTAGTTGTTTGTTGGTCAGTAATTTGAGGCTAGAGCACGTGAATTAACTGACAAATCAAGGTGGTTAGATAACAGAATTGCCTCATATACTTAAGTCAGTACAAATACCAAGAAGCCAGAGCAGTTTTTCCAAGGAATCCAAGGGTCAGATAAATATGAGGGGCTTTAAAAAGTCATGGAAAAATTTCATTATCTTTCAATTCCATTTGTTCATGAACTTTTTGAAGTCCTTCTGTAACTGTCTAAAGTGTCAAATGGGGGTAAATTTAAGTTACAAGGCAGGCCTAATAAAGGAGAACACTTTTTCTTTACAGTTCTCAAAAGGTTGCTGTGTGCTGTGGAGTCAGTTCCAACTCACTGTGACCCTGTATAGGGCTTCTGAGAGTGGCTGCTGGGTTTGAATTGTTGACCTTGCATTACCAGTCCAGTGCTTATCCCACAGCACCACACCAGGGCTCAAAAGTAAAGGTGTCACAATCTTTTTTAGAATACCTTTTTCTTTACAACAAGTCAATGTTTAAATTATCATCAAATACGATGGCAATGAAAATACATGACATACTAAGATTCTTAAATAATATGAAATAGTATATAGTCTGACTGACCAGGCACTTTACACTTTCAAAAAACAGTAAAATGAAGATACCTTTAAACTGCATTTCCCATTCTCGAACACTCTCCATTTGTACGGCATTCAAATCTGACAGATCATCATATTCATCTCTTAGAGCATCTTTATCTAGGCAAAATGTAGCCAGTCCTCTGGAAGCATCCCTACCAGCAAATATTCCATATGGGCCCGCTGAAAAAAGAAATTATTTAGATTACCTAACAATATTTTATAAGGAGCTCTGTTAGCACAGCAGTTAAGCACTGGGCTGCTAACTGAAAAGTCAGAGGTTCAGTTCCACCAGCTGCTCTTTGGGAGAAAGATCTGGCAGTCACAGTATCTCTGAATATCTTAAAAAGAAAAAGTCAAAAGCAGGCACACCTCATTTTATTGTTTTGCTTTATGTGCTTCAGAGATACTGCATTAAAATTTTTTTTTTACAAATTGAAAGTTTGTGGCAACCCTATGTTGAGCAATTCTATCAGCACCATTTATTCCCCCAGTACCCTATATTCACTTTGTTTCACTGTGTCATGTTTTGGTAATTCTCACACTTTTTCGTAAAGTTATTTCACACTTAATAGACTACAGTCTAATGTAACTATAACTTTTGTATGCAGTGGGAAACCCAAAAATTCACGTGATTTACTATATTGCAGTGGTCTGGAACATATTTCTGAGGAATGCCGGCAAAAGAAACCTCATGACGACTCATATTCGGCACAGAACCTTAAATTCCAAACATACAGACACTAGAAGCAATAATGAGAAGAAATTTCTTAGAAATCTGCCTTTTGACTCAAGATTTTCACACAAACCTTAAATTTCAATTACTTTGTTGTTGTTGTTGTTGTTAAGTGCCGTCGAGTCGGTTCCGACCCATAGCGACCCTGTACAGGGTTTCCAAGGGTATAAATCTTTACGGGAGTAGAAAGCCTCATCTTTCTCCCGCGGAGCGGCTGGTAGTTTCGAACCGCTGACCTTAAGGTTCGCAGCCCGATTCGTAACCACTACGCTACCAGAGCTCCTTAGGTATCTCAAAAGTTTGTATTTAAGGATAAAAATTATGAGGTAATTAAAGAAAAGAGAAAACTTAAGCAGTTAGGTTTGGAAGCTAAGTTTGCGTAACAGTAAATGCTGTCTTACTGATGGGAGTTAATGACATCTAAAAATAATCAACAGAACAGCCATTGGAAATGTACCATGCAAAGACTTGTGAATTTAAACTCTTTTCATTTCTTCAACCCTATTTAAGTTGTAACACTATGAGAACAGATGGCATCATATTTGCACACTCAGGAACTGGTTCAGTACCCAGCAATGTCAATGTTCAACAGATATTTGCTGAATGAATGATCTGACCAGAAATATAAGCATTTTCAAAAATAAATTAAACAACCATAATATAATCTCCAAATTATATTTATCATTATACCATATAAACTAAGAAGTCATTAAAGAAAACAATGGTTTTCATTTGTCATGTTTTTTGGGAAATAGGAATGGCTATAAGGAATACTGTAGTTCTCCCAGACTGACATATTGATGATTAGTCCATGGAATTAAGTACCACCCTCACTGGGATTGAAGTTGTCAAGGGCTTCATTCTTCTTGGATGAACTACCAACATTCATGGAAGCAGCAGTTAAGAAATCAGACAACTTATTGCATTAGGCAAATCTGCTATACAAGACCTTTTAAAAGTGTTGAAGAGCAAAGATGTCAGCTTGAGGACGAAAATGTGCCTGACCCAAGCCACAGTATTTTCAGTAACCTCATATGCATGTGAAAGTTGGGCAGTGAATAAAGAAGACTGTAGAAGAATTGATGCATTTGAGTTATGGTGCTGAGAATATTGAAAGTGCCATGGGCTGCCAAAAGAAGTGCAGCCGAAGTGCTTGGTGGAGGACAGGATGGCCAAACTTCGCCTCTCATACTTTAGACATATTGTCAGGAGGGATCATACGCTGGACAAGAGTAGCATGTTTAGTAAGGTGGAGGGTCAGAGAAAAAGAGGAAGACCCCTAGCGAGATGAACTGGCAAAGTAGCAGCATCAATGGGCTCAAGTTGTCAACAATTGTGAGGCTGGCCAAGGATCGGGCAGTGTTTCGTTCTGTTGTACACAGGGTTGCTATGAGTTGGTACCAACTCAATGGCACCTAACAACAACCTCAATGGAGAAGAATGGTAGGACATGTATGTTGCCAGAACGTCTATTTTTGAGGGCACCAACTGTCATGTTCATCTCTGTATCTGCAATACTTTAGTACGGTGCCTGACGTGAAGCAGAAACATAATAAAGTTCTTCTAACTGAATAAAATGCATTTCCAAATAAGATTAATTCTAGATTCTGACCCTTTACTTTAAACATAAGTAAGCTTGTCACTCCAAATATATAATAAAAAAGACACATCAGCTGTTTAAAACAGATTATCAAGAAAATAAAACTAACCTAAATTTTCATATTATGAAATTAGTTCAATAAATTATAGTACATTAATTTAACAGAATACTACACAGCGATAACAAAATGAATAAGGTAACTATATGTTGTTGTTGTCAGGTGCCATCAAGTCGGAAATGTCTCATAGCAACCCCATGCACAGCAGAACGAAACAATGGCTGATCCTGGGCCAACCTCACTACCACTGCCACACTTGACGCCATCAATGATGCCACCTGGCCGGATCCATCTCATTGGGGGTCTTCCTCTTTTTCTCTGACCCTCCATCTTACCCAGCATGACATCCTTCTCCAGCGACTCTTCCTTCCTGACAACATGTCCAAAGTATGAGAGACGAAGTTTAGCCACTTGGTCTCCAAGGAGCACTCTGGGTGCACTTCTTCAACACTTTAACTATACGTACAGACACAGAAAGCCCATAATATAGTAACTGAAAAAAGCAATTCAAGAAAATATATATGCATCTATGCTTCATGTTTGTATATAAATGAAAAAAAATACAGTACAGAGCAAACTATTAATACTGGCAACATTTCTGGTGAATGAAAGGAAATTTTACTTGATATAATTGATAAGGTTCAACTACTTTAAAGTATCTTCAACTTCTAATGGTAGGTGTTATTTCTCCTCATTTTCAGAAGAAATAACGTTCAGATGTAAATAACTTAAAAAAGAGGGGAAATAATACTTAAAATTATCTTCACCTAGGAATACTGGTGTGGCGCTATAGGATTACAGCACTGGACTTCAAAACCACAAGGTTGTTAGTTGAAACTCACTAGCCGTTCCTCAGAAACCCTATACAGGTGTCACCATGACTCAACAGCACTTAACAACAATATCTTCAACTCAGGCTGCAGAAAGGACCAAATAGAATTTTTTCTCTGAAAGTTTTTATTTTTTAAGTATTAAGTGATAAAAATAAACAACAAAAAGAAGTACATGGTTTGACAAAAGAAAAACATTATTCCCAGAATCTATAACTTATCCGTATGTGAAAAAGGTTAATTAAGAAAATAATGTTTATGGTCAGAATACTATAACTACCATTAGTATTCAATAGAGTGGTTTACAACAGAGCTTGTTGTTATGTGTTTTCAAGTTGGTTCTAATTCATAATGACACTGTACAGTGTTTCCAAGGAGCAACTGGAGGACTTGAACTGCCACCCTTGAGGTTAGCAGTCCAATGCTTATCCTACAGCACAACACCAAGATTCCCTCAAAGAACTTGTTGTTGTTAAGTGCTGTCAAGTCTCATAGTGATACTGTATAGGGTATCCAAGAATCAGTTGGTAACAGTTAGCTCTGCAGTTCAAGTCGACCTTGTTTTTGTTGTTGTTAGGTGCCATCAAGTCAGCACCAACTCATAGCGACCTTAAGCATAGCAGAATGAAACAATGTCTGATCCTGAGCCAACTTCACTACTGTTGCCACACTTGAGTCCATAGATGCTGCCACCTGGCCAATTCATCTCGTTGGGGGTCTTCCTCTTTTTCTCTGACCTTCCACCTTACCAAACATGATATCCTTCTCCAGCGACTGTTCCCTCCAGACAATATGTTCAAAGTAGGAGAAACGAAGTTTGGCCATCTTGGCCTCCAAGGAGCATTCTGGCTGCACTTCTTCCAAACAGATCTATTGGTTCTTTTGGCAGCCCATGGTACTTTTAGTATTGTCTTCCAACACCATAATTCAAAGGCATCAATTCTTCTACGGTCTTCCTTATTCACTACCCAGCTTTCGCATGCATATGAGGTTATTGAAAATACCATGGCTTGAGTCAGGCGCACCTTAGTCCTCAAGTTTACATCTCTGTTCTTCAACATTTTAAAAAGTTCCTGTGCATCAGATCTGCCTAATGCAATAAGTTCCATGGTGGACAGGTTTCAGATGAGCTTCCAGACAAAGACAGACTAGGAAGAAAGAGTGATGAACTACTTTAGAATCTTTAGTCACTAAAAATCTTATGAATAGCAGAAAAGCTGACCTTGTGGTCCAGTGCATTATCTAGTAGTGCCACACCAGGATAGCCAGTTAATAAACTATTTTCTAATAAGATGGAAACAAGTAGTAAAAAGACCTGGCAATTCTTTGATTTAAATGTACATAATAAATGTTTATATCCATATTCATATTTAAAATAATTTTGTTGTTTTCAAGGGCCTTTGAGTCAGTTCTGACCCACAGTGATCCTGTATAGAGTTTCCAAGGAGCACTTGGTGGGTTTGAATCACTGACCTGGCAGTTAAGCAGTCCAATGCTTATCCTACAGCACCACATCATGACTCTTTAAACCATTTAGGAAGTTTAATACGTCAGGAAAGTTTCCGTACTGTTTTTGAGAATAGAATTCAAGGTTTCATTTAAATAGACAACAATCTTAAAATTTAAGATTGAACATTAATTTGGATCACAAAAAATACTGTACCATAAAGTTTGTCAAACAGGAGTAAAAATATGTAAGCAGTTTCTATATTGCTACTTGCTGTAAAGCTACTTGCTATTATAATGAAAAATTATAATGAAAGGAGTGTGGTGCTGTAGGATAAACACTCGATCTCAAGGTCGGTTTTAACCATAAGATCAATAGTTCAAACTCACCAGCTGTTCCTTGGAAACCCTACAGAGGATTGCTAAGAGTAGGAAAGGACTCGATGGAACTTAACAGCAATAACAATTATAACAAATTGTGCAAAGGCCTAAAGTTAGAAAACCAAAGGGAAA